ACACACACACACACACACACACACACACACACACACACACATATATATATATATATATATATATACACACACACACATTTATTGGCAAACAAACCAACATAGATTTATTGACATAAAGTTGTCCAAAATTTACTAAGGCCTGGAGCTAAGTAGATATTCATTCAAAATCATGATTTTGAGCATGTATACAAACTTAACTGATGGCATTGAAACAAATAGGACAATTCAATAGATCAATGATATGGAATGGCTTTCCTTAACTAGGACCATGCTTTAACCTGGAGAATAGCAATTGAGGTTTTAATGTTTAAATATCACAAGGGAGAATGAAGCAGATTTACAAGAAAATAGTATCAAGAATAAAATTAAACAGTTTGGTGCTCATTTAGTCAATGTAATACAAACCTACATGTGCAGGAAATGCCAAATGGTATCTTCAATTTTTGTATGTAAGCCTTTAACTATGTTATCCAACTATTATCGGATGCAATTAGGCTCAAGAATATAATGAAAAAGGAGAAGATAGTTTAAATTTGGATGCAAATTATTGAACAAAGGAATATAGAACAGCTTGGAATGAATATTCTGTCATCAAGAACATCAAAAACATAAAAGCTAAAATAATCAAGAAGAACTTTGACCTGTGGATTTAAATCTTCTGTCATCAAAGATACCTTGAACCTCTGATGCAACTGTTTTTATATATGGATTCCTAAAGCAGAGAGGAGGTGTAATTCGACAACGCAATGCAACTGCAGACTTAGAAACATAACTTCTTCTCTTTTGCGGCCCAATTTGAACTGACTTGCCTTCCACAATTTGATCAGAGTCACAATCATCCAACTGAACCTCCGCAACCTGTTGATGGCATGGAAAGATGGTGGAGAGGTATTTACTTGGAGAGCACCCTGCAAGAGAGAACAAGGTAGAATGCTGCTGATATTAGTTCTATATATTGAAAACAGAATGAAAATTGACAACTGACATATTAGAGCACTTTCTGGTCCTAGAACCATTGAGAAATCCATTCAAGGTAGTAATTTATTTAAAAAAACTTAACTTATAAATGATTACCCTCACTATCTTGGACTATTGCTTATGGGAATGTGCTTTTGGCACTTCTAACACTCTATTGCCTTTTAGCTCGTCTCCTTTCTGTTTAAATATCACAAATAGAAAATGATGGAATCCCCCACTCTGGCATTTAGACAATAGAAAAAAGACAAACAAAGAGCACTGATAATCTTTTGTCTATTGTATAAAATGAACTTCTGTGACAAATTTCAGTTCCCCTTAGGACATACTGCACTTAAGGACGTTTAACACCTATATTTTATTTTTACATTCAAAAATATTAATTGGGTCAAAATAAATCAATAAAGAAAATATCTATTCAATAATGGTAAACCAGTAATCAAACAAAAATCTAAACACAGCCAAAATTAAACTCTGGGAGAAAGGATTAATTGGGCCAAATCATAGAGGAGTGAACTTCAACAGTAGAGAATGAGATACCAACTAAACAATCAACTCTTTACTACATCAAACGCAAAATTAGCATTCTTAGTCTAGAAACCAAGGGTTAGAAAGTAAGCCCATGGGATGAACTAAGCATACCACTTTTGTGCCTCTTGTTCCTGCCATTTGTTGTCTTCTCCGGCGAGTTTGGACAAGGAATGTTCTCCTAAAAAGGTCCAAATCAGCAAAATGCAGGCTAAAGACTAACAACCACCGAAATCAAAGAATAAAAATAGCCATGGCTTTTACCTTATCGACCTCGAACCCATTATCAATCTGTTGGCAATCCGGTGTGATATAATCTGGAGTACTAGAAACCCAAAAGAGAAAAAGCCACGACGTTTAACAAGACCAGAACTCCCAATCAGAAGCAACGAAGGTGGAGTCACCTACCAGAAGAAATCTTGGCTGAGGATGCAGTCCTTATCTTCCCCTCCCTCCTCGGCACCGACGGGAGGTGCGTCGTCGCCATCCCCCTCCCCCTCCAGAAGTTTCTCGAAGGGGAAAGGTGAGCCGGTGGAGGCGGAAGAGAATCCCTGAAAGGGAGGAAAGGTCACGTGCCCGAGCTGGAAGCTGAGATCACCAGCGGGAAAATCACCCTCCATTTCCGTCACCACGGCCGCCGTCGCCCCCCTACTCCTTATCCCTCTCCCTCTCCCCTTAGGGGTTCTCGATCTCCTCATCTTCCCACTGCCCTCCGCCCCCTTTTAGTACATCGATTCCACTAATAACAAAAGAATGTAAAAAAGAAATGATTTAAATCGAAAGCTTGTCGACCCTCTGAAAAAGGAATTGGCGGGAGAAAAAAGATAATTTGTCGTTCTCGTACCCAACCAGCTTACCTCCTGCCTGTGACGTGTCACCCACCTGAGACCCCACTTTTCTTCTATTCACAGGTCGGTATGAGAACGGGTAGATGAGGTCTGAAGGGCAGGGAACATTGAACTCTTCCTACCCCTTTGCTGGAATAGAAAAAGGAAATTTACTGTTGATTAAAATTGAACCGGACCGGGTTGTCGTTGATACTGGTTCGGTCTGCCTAGGGCCGGTTCGTCGTCCTCAGCGAAGTCACCCTCGGTGGCTTTGGCTTCTTACAGTTCTGCTGAGGTGTAATAGTGCAGAGAGGAAAGAGGAAGCGAAGGGGAGTCATGTCGAAGCGGCCGGCGACAGATGAGATCCCCCGTCCTGACTCCGGCAAGCGGCACTATGGAGACACCCCCGCTTCCGTCGTCGGGGACCAAATCCGTGGGTCTCCGCCCCCGCCGCGGTCGTCCTTTCCGTCCTACCTCGACGCCGGCCCCGAGTTATCCCCCAAGGCCCGGCTTCTGTGCGAGATTCTCGCCTCCAACCCGCCCACGGAGGTGGAGCGAGCCCTCGACTCTGTCGGCGTCCGTGTCTCCACCGAGGACGTGGAGGCCGTGCTTAAGTTCTCCTACTCCCAACCGGGCGCCGCTGTGGCTTTCTTCCGGTGGGCGGGATCCCGCCACCTCGCCGATCGCCACTCCCCCTACGCGTGGAACCTCGTGGTCGACCTTCTAGGCAAGAACCTACACTTCGAGGCCATGTGGAACGCCGTCCGCTCGATGCGTTCCGAAGGCCTTCTCTCCCTCGCCACCTTCGCCTCCATCTTCTCCTCCTTCTGCGCCACTGGCCGCCCCGATGACGCCCTCGCCGCGTTCGACACCATGAACCTCCACGGTGTCCCCCGAGATACCGCCGCCCTGAACTCTCTTCTCTCTGCTGTCTGTCGCGAGGGCCGCGTCGCCACCGCGCGCCTCTTCTGCGACGGCTCCCGCTCGTCCGTGGCTCCTGACGCCGACTCTTTTGCCATCCTTCTTGAGGGCTGTGAGAACGATGTTGACCACCGGTCTGCCCGTGAGGTGTTCGACGATATGATCGCTACTGTCGGCTGGGACCCGGCCAACGTCCAGGCCTATGACTCCTTCCTCACCATCCTCGTCCGGTCGGGCTCCTATGGCTTTGCTGAGGCCCTTAGGTTCTTTGAGAAGATGAAGCAAAAGAGGTGCTTTCCAGGAATGAAGTTCTTTCGGGATGCCATCGAGGTGCTCGTTAAGAAGAAGGATGCCCACGAGGCAATGAACATCTGGGAGGAGCTCATGGGACGCAATGGGTGTTTCGCGGACACACCCATGTACAATTCAATGATAGCCTTGCAGTGTGATCTCAATCAGATCGATGTGGCCCTTCGGTTCTTTGACGAGATGATCATCTATGGAGCATTTCCTGACTCACAGACGTACAATGTCTTGATTCAGTTCTTGCTTAAGGGAAAGAAACTAAGGGAGGCTGCTTCTCTATTCAATGAGATGGTTAAGAACGAGTGCTGTCCAACAGCAGCTAACTGTGCTTCCTTGATGAAGACTTTGATGGATTCAGCAGATTTTGACATGGCCTTAAAGGTATGGAAGTGTATGACTGATAATGGCTTGCCTCCATTGGAGGAGGCCGGAAACATGTTGGTTTTGGCATTACGTGATGTGGACATGCTTCCTGAAGCTTGTAAATATGCAGAGGATATGATAGACAGAGGCATTAAGTTGAATTCATCTACTCTGTCTAAGCTGAGGCAGAGCTTACTAAAAATTGGTAAGGGTAGCATCCATGATCATCTCCTCAGAAAATGGAAATCTCGTTAGACAGTGTGTTTTGAATTTTTAGATGATCATAATACATTATGGTGTTACTTGTGATCCTAGCACATAATTATCTTTCTAATTCTACTTGAGTTTGTTATTGGCATATCATGAGATCACATTTTATTCTTGGATTTTTTTTCTCTCTTTCAAGTTATGTTTCTTTATTTTCTCTTTGATGAATTAGTTCAGTATTTTTGTTTTTTTGGTGTTATAATTGTTTAACTAATCCAATTGTGCTCCTGTGATAACCTATATTTCTTGAACTTTAATAAACTTTTCTACCCAAGGGATGATCTACGAAAATCCTTGATGAATGTGTAATTGAAAGTAACATTAGTTTCTCAAGGGAAAGATAAGTGTGCATGATGTAGTTGCAGAATAAGATGGTACAACAAGAACAAATCCTACAATCATGAAGTAACAGTGTTATCTTAACTTTAGAGTAGGTGACTAGGATTTGTCTGGTTTGTTTGAGATCATAGATTTTTTTTTATTTGGTGAAATTGACTGAGAATTGATTATAATCAGGCAAATGTTGGTCAGGATTGGCGAGACCATAAAGGAATTTAGCATTGTTGACCAATATTTAAATCATTAGGATTGTGCCAGAAATTGATCTAAATCAGTTAAAGATCAGCTGTAACTGATTGAATTGGTTGAATCGATCTAGGATTAGCCTATTTCTTTTTATCAATTTTTTACATATCATTGCCAAAATTCCATTTTGTGATAATTTTAGGATTTCACTCAGCTAATTTCATAAGCTACTGTATTTATATGATATTGCCAAGAAGCGGGAGATGATCATGCTTTTGACATGGTGGTCATGGAGGCACATCTTTTTCCAATAGCTTGGTGATAACTGGAAGTTGCACAAGAGGAATAGTTGTTCAGAGGAGAGAACATCACACATAAAAGGCCACTGGAGTAGTTGAATGGTGGGGACATTCTATAGGGTTGGAGAAACGATGAAGGATGACAGAATGAGACGGTGAGGACGATAAGGTTAGTGGCATTGAGGATTTGGGTATTAGCTTTACTCTTTCTTAGTATCAGTGGCCACACACTCAGTGTCTCAGTTCTCAAAGCCTGGAAATCATTTGGAGGTTCAAGGCTGTCCTCCATTTGCTTGAATTTTCTGTGAGTGGAGGAGGCTTCTGGGTGATTTCTGCGTGTCTCATTTGTAGGAAATAGAGGGTGACTGTTACTGCAGGTGCCTTGGAGTGCCAGCAGTGGTGTGGTTGAGCCAGCTGACACCTTAGTACTTGGCCTTGGTCAGCCAAGGTCGATGGGCAGCCGGATTTAATAATTAAAGCTGATACCATCAGAGGTTGGTCTCTTGGCATTTCTTTTTAGTACCATTTCTGACATGTTGGTGATGCAAACTTTTTTCCTTGTTCAGATTTGAGTATTTGACACTGATTACTTCTTGCATCAAGTGTTGCATTTTGACTTCACAAACATTGATTGAGCGCGAGAGGGAGATGCAATTCCTTCTGTCAAAATAGAAAGATGTTCTAATCACCAGAGATGAGAGGATCATTTGGTGCAGTTATTCTCACAGGTTATGGCATGGTTACTTTCTTTCTACCACAACAGGTGATGCTACATGTGTTTATCTTGATCCTTGTTTTGAAATGTATACTTAGTTATTGAAAGAAAATAGAGCAGCTTATGCATCGAAGCTGCGAGGTCAGATGTACACAGCCTAAAGTTCTCATTATCTACATCTTGTTTTTTACTTTCTTAGTGTTAAATGCAATGGGAGTGTCTTGAGAGAGAGAGAGAGAGAGAGAGTCTTGCAATGCCTTGAAAGCCATGGGATGTTCTTGTGACATATATCATCAACTCAACATGGATAGCATCAGTGGACATTGGATCAGATGATTTGGGTGTTGTGCTATTTGTGAACTTGAAATGAGCCTCTTCTTCCTCTGACATCTGGGCTATTCTGTAGAACGAGTTGTGGAACTTTAGCACTGTTGAAACTTGTATGTGCTTTGACATGTATTGTGGCCAGTAGCTTAATGGGTGTCTGATGTCGTTCATATTAATTTCAGGGTTTTTTTTATTTATTTGTCTTCTACTACTTTGGTTAGTACTCTATGCAGACCTATAACCAAACTCAGCTTTCCTCTTATGAAAATTTACTAAGACCTTTTTTTATCCCAAGAAAACAATAGCTTTTGTATGACGTTTTGTGATTCAATTTGATTTCTCAGGCTTATAATTTACATGTTTACATGTGTTTTGTATAGTTGTTCGTCCCGGTTGGAGCGCGTGAGCTTGATCCCAAGAACTAGCCTGGATTGATGTCAACAGGGTTTGCGTAGCTTCACTTGAGGTGTACACGGAGGGACAAATTTGAAGACCACAAGTCGGTCTTTAAAGAAGAGAGGAAAATATCAGGGCTATTATTCATGGGTTTGTGGAAGAATTTTAGTGAGTAACGACTTCCAACTTAAGCGTGTCAAAGGATTGCGAGGTGACTTTGGATCAACTATTCTGTTCTGTCAACATAGCTGCAGCTTTCAGAATTGTCTTCTTTTGAAATGTTGTGCAGTGTTTGGAAGATTGACAAGTAAAAGCAGGCTACCAATATGGACCAGTGCTGCAGGGCTTCCACAGTCTTTGGCAGAAGCTGTGCGCGAAGAGGAGACTTGCTCTCTCCGTTTGCCTATGGCCGCCACCAAAGCATCAGCCATCTTTCCTCTGCTGCTGCTACTGCCACTGCTGCATCTCCTCTCTTCTGGATTCGCAGCTGCAGGACAACAAGATTGCCCTCCATTCTCCTGTGGGCAGCTCCGGGACGTCAAATACCCTTTCCGTCGCAAAGATGATCCAACTATCTGCGGGAACACAACCTACCAACTCAGCTGCGACGCCAACAGATCTACCATCAGGATTGGCTCTGCGGACTACTTCGTCACTCAGATATCGTACCTATCGTCCTATTTTACTTGGATCCGGCTGGTGGATCCTAACCTCGCCAATGGAAGTTGTGGTCTCCCTGCCCAACCTTTATCGCCCACCAACTTGTCGACCGCGGGACTCTCTTGCGGTGCATATTACTGGGCCAGTTTCGTGAATTGCAGCGAGACGATCCAGAACGACACACGGTATCACCGCCTTTCATGTCTGAGCCGCAACGACACGCTTGTCTATGTCATCGTTGCCCCAGAAGCAGATGAACTGGGCTACCTTCATCCGTGGTGCGAGTATCTATCAATGATTCCGGTCGCTTATGATGCATCTTTGTTCGACGATCCACCGAGTTCAGCGATCGACGCATTCAGCATCCTGCAGAAGGGGTTCGATTGTTATATTCCTGGAAGACGTGGTGCGATTAACTGGAAATATTTGATGATAAGACTCAGTCAGATTATACTGCTCTTGATAGGTATTGTCCCACTGGTATTCCCCGTTCTGCACTGCATGCTACGCTCTGGCTCTCAACTTCCTTTGTTTCCTCTGTTACGCAGTGCCGTTCATGGTAGGCCGGTTAGTGATCGCGCCGATCATAGTCTGTGTCTTCTTTGCTCACAAACTGTGGGTCAGCCGAGCCTCCGTGGACACCGTGGAGAAGTTCCTCCGCGCTCAGCAAACGCTGACGCCCACCAGGTACGGCTACACCGACATCGTAGCCATCACCCGGCACTTCAGGCAGAAGCTGGGCCAGGGAGGGTTCGGATCCGTGTTCAAGGGCGAGCTCGCCGGTGGCCTTCTCGTGGCCGTCAAACTGCTCGGCAACTCCAAATGCAACGGCGACGAGTTCATCAGCGAAGTCTCCACCATCGGCAGGATCCACCATGTGAATGTGGTGAGGCTGGTCGGCTACTGCGCCGAGGGATCCAAGCGGGCGCTCGTCTACGAATACATGCCCAATGGCTCCCTCGACAGGTACATCTTCGCTTCCAAACCAACCACGGCCCGCACTTTTACCTCGGAAAAGCTCATCGACATAGCCATGGGCGTCGCCCGCGGCATCCACTACTTGCATCGAGGGTGTGACATGCAGATTCTGCACTTCGACATCAAGCCTCATAACATTCTCCTCGACCGCAACTTCACGCCCAAGATTTCTGATTTCGGACTCGCAAAACTGTATCCCAAGGGCAACAGTCTGGTGTCAGTCAGTGCCGCAAGGGGGACGGTGGGATACATAGCTCCCGAGTTGATCTCCAGGAGCTTTGGAATCATATCGCACAAATCAGATGTCTATAGCTTTGGGATGCTGCTGATGGAGATGGCAGGAAGGAGGAGGAACGTGGATCCTCGTGCAGAGAATTCGAGCCAGGTTTACTATCCTTCGTGGATATACGATAAGCTCGCTCGGCAGCAGGAGATCCAATTCGACGACACCTCGGAGATAGAGGAGTTGGAGAAGAAGCTGGCGGTGGTTGGATTGTGGTGCATCCAAATAAAGCCATCGGAGAGACCGACAATGGCAAAGGTGCTGGAAATGCTGGAAGCTGATGCGAGCAGCCTACCGATGCCCCCGAAACCCTTCTTTTCCTCCGTGGATTCCACTTCAGAAACAAAGACTTGCTTGATTTCATCTTCCGCTGAGCTATCCATCATCTCGGAATGAAAAATCATTGTTCAAAATAGTAGAAACAAGCGATTGGAATGGTGCACTACAATAAAGAATCCGAGAAGAGGTAACACGCCATGAAGGTGGATCAGTCGACGAGTCCTGTTTAGTTCGTCTAATCTACTTATGAAGAACTCAGCTTTAGCCTGAAGACTACGAAAATTAATTGCCTGTTGTTTACTTCTCATTTCTATATAGTTATCAATGCGGAGAAATCATTCTCTCTTCCGATGTACTATTTAGTCGCGTAACACTGGTAATTTAGTCGTACTAGTTAGTTCTTCTGGTGCTATAATTGCTTGTCTTTGAACACTATATTGCTTATCCTTTCCCTGCCAAGAACAGAGCTATCATTATAATTTCTTGTCTTCGAACACTGCAATGCTCAGCCTTTCCCCTCCAAGAACATAGAACTATAAGTGTATACATGTAGCTTGATCAAGTTACAAGATCTAGATCTCTTAGGTGCCACAGATTCTGTTCTCAAACATCTTAAAGAACTCATCAAGGAGAAAAAACAGTACCTAAGAACCAGACTTAAGAGTACATTTCTTTGTTTCTGTGTACTAATGATGGTTTGGATGAAGGAGAGACCACCTCAGTGAGTAAATTCATGTTCTTCAGCTAAATCATTGCAGATTTCCAGCTCATTAATTGCTGAGATCTGTGAACTTACATGGTTGGTGGCTTATTATTTTCAAGCTTTTTCTTATAATTCTTTTAACATCATTGAGTGATCGTGTGGGACAGCAGTCATCAAATTTAGATCGTGTCGAAAACTCCAATATCAATCAAGAATTCACTTTCATTAAGGAAATGATTTATGGTCCACCATATTGTCACTTTCCATCCACTAATTGAGATTGAAGTAGCAGAAGACAAATCAACTTTGAAGCTTCTTATGGAGGATTTTTGACAGAAATGTGAAGATACAAAGCATCAGATGCATGATTAGTATGTGTTGATGAAACATTCCTGTGTCTCAGGCTCAACCACATCACATCGAAACCATTGGCAGTGTGACCGTAAGATGGATCATCAGAAAGAGAACAAAAAATGAAGGAAGAAGAAGAAATGAACATGCACTTGTGTGCTTCTACTGACGAAGAAGATCCATGGTTTTGAGCAAGAAAGGCCTGAACCTGTTCACATCGAGCCTCACGTTCTGCTTGGCCAAGTACACGTCCCCCATCTTGAAGAAGCCTTGCCTGTGAAGTGACTGTGGGTCTGTGAACACCGGATGATCTCTGGGGTACAGGTCCAGCAGCGTGCTCTCCTCCACCGTGATGTTGTACTCCAGGTAGTGCAGCCCGGCGTCCGAGGAGGGGAATCTGAAGGTGTGCGAGGCCATGCCCTCCAGCTCACAGCAGGGGACGATCTGTATCAGCACGGCGTTCTTGGGGAGGAAGACGAAGTTGGTGAGCCCGGCGCCGTGCACTCCCATGATCGCGTCGCACGAGTTCACCACGCTCGCGAACCCCGCGACGTCGCCGAACTTGGCGTCCGTCCTCACCACCTCGAAGCCCGACGCCTCCGCCATCCGGACGATCTCCGGTACGTTGGTGAACCTCCGCTTGCCCTTTCTCTCCACCACCAGTAGCCTCGGCTTCTTGGTTGGGTGCTCGCGCAAGCTGATCGCGTGGTCTCGCGGCAGGGAGTAGGTGCCCCTCAGGAACTCGGTGAAGTCGAGCATGGAGTAGGCGTTGGGAGCTTGAGCGGGCTCGATGATGAGGTCGTTGTGGAAGCGGAGGCCGACCAAGACGTGCGGGTGGCAGAGGACTTCGTCGCTGTGGTCGAGATCGACGAGCTCGTACCGGGTGAGCCTCTTGATGATGGGCTGGTACTTGAGGAGCCACCACGGCTGGATGTTGGTGATGAGGAACTGGACGTCGCCGTCGAACTGCCGCGCCGTCAAGAACAGAGGGAGCAGCACGTCGGTGAAGTCGTGGTAGTAGTTCCCGGTGAATCCACCAAGCGCGAACACGATGGCTGGGACTGCCTGGTTGACGGTGCACCGGGGGAGGATTGCGGAAGCGCCGTCGTTTGGCGCTGCTCTCACCGTGACCTTGGGGATGTTCTCCATCTGCTTGCGGACGTAAGGCACGACCTTCCATTGTTCTTCCCTTGGTTGATGGGGGGAAACGAACACCACGGATGAGGACTTGCCGTGGATTCGAACGTCGCCCTTCATCTCGCAGAACTCAGTTCTCGGATTGTTTAAGTCGCAGATTGGCTTCATCATCTGAATCATTCTGTCTTCTCTTTTTGGAGCGTGAATCTTTTCGGCTTCTGAGCAGCATCAAGCTCGTGTTGTTACGTTCTAATTGAAGAAGATGGATCCAATTTGGCCAAGATGATCGAGCATACCTGGTTGCTTGGGTTCTCTCTTCTCTTCCTTGGTGATTGAGTGGGGAATAGTGGAAGAGTTCTTGCGGTGCACGCTCTCGTCTGCAGTGTTTCCATGTTGATCCTCTGTCTTTCTTCCTCGTTCTGCAAGAGAGAGAGAAGACGATATCTCAGTGGAATTAATCCTAAATGATTGGAGGAAGAGATTGCATTGAGCTCAGACGGGTCCAGAACTCGGTGTGCTCTCCAAAACAGGGATCAGTGACTTCCTGGTTTCTTCCTCTTCTCTGAGCACATGGCTCTCTGTGTCTTCTCTCTCTCTCTTTCTCTTAGTATGCTTTCAAGATGAAGCAATGTCGATAGTTCTTCTTACCTTGATTTTGTAGTCTAATTTTGCCTTCCACCGCTTCGGTGTTACGAACTCTGTAGGCTACAGATGGCTGCTGATCAACTGCAGAACAAGAGAAACAGAACAAATAAGGATCCAACAATCTCTGCGTCTCAAAACTTCTATAGACATAGATATTACTACCAGAAGAAGAATAGCGGAACAACAACAGGGATTGAGGGAAGAGAGAAGACTCACCGGAGGTCTCCGACATGGAGATGAAGTATGTCAAGATGACCACGCAGCATCCCACGAGCAACGCCAAACCGAGCTTCCGTGCCTCGAACCGACTCAAGTTCCGAACTACAGTCTTCTCGTATCCCATCTTCCGGGCGTCGCCGCCGCTGGTGGAAGCTTCAGCTGAAAGGAATCACCGGTGGTGAAGGGGAGAGTTGTACGGAACACACAGCAAGAAAGCTCTTCTTTTCCCCCCGCTTGCTGCCAAAGCCTGGTTGGGAATTCTCCTGTGGAATGGATCTGTGGGCTCTCTCTCTCTCTCTCTCTCTCTCTCTCTCTCTCTCTCTCCTTCCTCTTCTTCTTCTTCTTCTTCTTCCTCCAAACCCTGTGTAGCTTTGAGAGAGAGGAATGGGTGCAAGAGGTTGCATTTAAATATATCTCCAAAAAAGATACTCTTCATCTAAGGAGATGTAAAACATTGACTAGTCTGCTTGAGGAATTAGTCATCTCCAGTGGACAAATCTCAATTGTTCATTTTCCAGAATTCCAAATAATAAAAAAATACACCTTTCTACTTTGTATTCTCTTTTGATTATGTGCTTATATGGATCATTAGTAGAAAAATAATTTACAAAAAATCAGAAGGAAAAAAAAACTATTTTTATTCTCATCAAATAAAGTTTGTGTAAATGGTCAATGATTTTGTCATCTGAAACTCAAATCCAAAATAATTTTGTAATCTGAGTCTATAATCTATTCTCTTTCATTAAAGAACACCTAAGCTGACAGATTGATTCTGTAAAAATGATATTATATTAACTGATCCTATAATTTTACAAAGAGCATGTGACTCAAGTTGAGGAAAAGTTGTGGTTGGCTTTGTTCTAAGACATTGGAATAAATAAGACCCATTCTCACCAAAAAATGATAATACTTAAGTGAACCCAAGCTGACTTTTCAAAACTTTCAGCTGCCATCTCATACATGTGAGCAACATAAATGTTCCATGTTGAGTTGTTGTTTCAAGACCTATAAGAAGAACCATTGCACATTGTCATGTTCTGATTGATGACAACTTTTTCCTTTTTACTGTAGAGAGAGAAAGGAACACATCCATACCAGAGCATTTTACAAGTGACCAAAGTTCTAAGAGAGACTAATGCATTGTTGTACCTCCAGAAGTAAGGTATTGAGTGTCCTAAAATAAATGTCACCTAATGCTCAAGATGCCATATGTTTTGCATGTGTATGTATGAGAGAGAGAAAGAGAGAGAATCCTAGGTTTTCTAGAAGCATTTCAACAAGGAAATTCTGAAGAGTATGATGACAAATGAGATCATGTTGGACACATCAAGTATCAACCTACTCATGCATGCTACAGTTTAACCTGGGATTTCTCGCCCATGGCTTGAACTGTGGGCTACACAGCCACAGGCCTTCCAATCAATGAAGCATCATCATGCTTCTTATTTCTCCTCCAACGTGTCTTGTCTCTTTGTCATAAAATAAAAAGCTGAAAGCTACCGAACTGGTAGTCCTATTGGCTTTGCCATCATTCTCATCCTCTTCTTATCATTATAGTTTGTACAGATACCAAAGCATCCCCTCTCTATGGTCTGCTAAAGATGATCCATGAGCCATGCCCAATACACAGCTCTGCCTTCTTCATTAAGATCAAGTGATTGGTATCAGGACATATCCCACAATAAAGACAAGTTTCAGCAGTCCAATTGGAGCTGGGAAGCAACTTGGTAACTTGTGGGACTCTAAAATGCTTTTCTAATATATAAATATACATCATCTCTTCTGCTATCATTGACTTGTATTATGGACTACATGTCATGGATGAATTTATTGAACCAGTCACAAAAAATTGAACAAGTCAAGTGAGTATGCTGTGACAGATAGATAGATCTAATAGCTTTAAAGATATACAAAAAGGAAGCTTCAACTGGTAAGTTATGTAATCAATTCAATGTTCCAACCACTCTGTTGAAATTGAGCAGGATGATAAAGAAATGATGTATGAAGATGGACTTGGATCTAAATTATGTGCACCAATCTAAGTCCACTCTGTCCACACCTCTCACAGGAATAAAAAGGAGGTTCATTGACTTTTGAAGCAAAATAATAGCAATGATAATAATAATATGCAGTGAACTTACATATCATAGTTTATTATCTGGCATGGAAGTGCATGAATTCCATTACTTGCCTCACAAAATATCTTGATATTACAGTGAACATTCCAACAGAGGCATCACATGTTGGGTTGTTTTCTTCCTTTTGGGCATTTTGTGGGGAATCCTTGAGTTGTTGAAACAGTAACTTGGAACATACTGTCCCTGTGAAGTTCTGGGAAGGGAGTACAATCATTGAAGAACAATATTGCAAGTTCTGTCGAGTTTGGAAGATATTTGAGATAAAAAATTATGTAAGCTGTCCCCTAATAATTGAGTTTAATGCATAATCCATGAGTCGTCAATTGTCAAGCCAAAGTCTTACGGATAACTCTATCGTAGGTATCATCTAATGACTCACTAAGGAATTATCTAAATTTTATCCTTTTGAAATGCCATGGATCCCAAAATACATATCCGAACAGAAAAGATTCCTCTACTTCTCAATCAAACCAATAAGAAGCTAAACATGTTCTTCATGAATAATAATAAAATTACTACAGTAGATGCAGAACTCAGGTTTTGGTTTTCTTTTTTTTTTTCCAAGGTAAAGATAGAACTCCTCTCTGTTTATAGATATAAATTGGGATGTATATATATATATATACCAAGTGGTATGAATTGTTTTATGAACCACATGGAGCACATGTGATGGAATCATATTGATCCATGAAATCAGTAATGAAAACACAGAGCAAGCTGGCTGCTAAATCTTGAAGAAATGTGAAATCATAGCAACCCAATTTGACTTTCCTTGAGCTCTGGGTGAACATATTGCGCTTTACAAAGATGAAATGTTTCATTTGCCGCTAATACATCTGTTGTCTTCTAGTGGTGCTGAAAGAATTATATATGTAATATGGCAGAAGTAAAGCTTGTCGGGTCTTATGACACCGATTGTTGTAGGGTCATTTGCAAGCTCTTGAAGGCATTGACTTGGTAAAACTCGGTCCTTTGATTCATGGGTTTGATCATTGAGCCAAACAATCAGATTGTATGTTAAGTCATATGCATACATTATATCTACAAAAAGATATTATTTTATGTTTGTAACAGAGAACAAACACCTTACGAAGACCTTCATGTTCTTTTCCGTTGTCCAGTCAATAGATCCTTCCTTCTATTGTTCTTTGCCTTTTTACATGAGACGAATGCTTTGGCTGTTCTTTTCGTTCTTGTATCCTTTGTTCAAGAGCAACGCAGAATCCAACAACTTCCAGGAATAAAAATAGCGAGATCAACGGCAACAACAAGAAGGCACTTTTCAAGCTCGTACAAGAACTTTCATTAGCAAAGACTAGGGATTTTGGCGATGCAGAAATGTCAGAATCATGCGGAGAATCATTCCGTAGTGTCCAAATCAATCAGAACTAATAAAATAGGCTAGCCCATGGCGATCACAACTTAAAGAAGATTGATTTAGCATGGGATTAAGATTCAACTGATGCTTCCTCCAGACTTTTAGTTACTGCTAGTTCCGTCAGCAGAAGTTTTGCTTTCATGCTTTCCAAGCTCTACATCTGGCTCCACCGAGCAGCGATGAAGATTGTGTTTCTGGTGGTTGTGATGGTGGTGCCCATGCTTATGATGAGACTTCTTGGCATCTCTTGGCTTCCCTGTTTCGTACTCTTCCCCTGATGATTTGCCCTGGGAGGATATCCTATTATGCTTGTGATCATCGTAACCGGGCGAATCATCTTCACTCAACCTGAGATGGTGCTTGTGCTTTGAGTGTCTTCTCCTTGCTTGAGAGTCTGAAGTAGAATCTTCATCACCTGACCTGTGATGGTGCTTATGGCGCCTAGAGTGACTCTTTCGGTTAGCTTTCTTTTCGTCGTCTTCAATGCTTGAAGGTGAGCTGCTAGAGTCCGTTCCGGATGAACATCTATACTTCCTCCCATGAGTGTGCCTCTTCCGGCCTGCATCATCGTCATCATTGCTATCATGATCACTGGAGCTTGAGCTTCTTTTCGTAGATCTGTGTTTCCTTTTTCCTCCATCTTCCGAGTCAGACTGGTCATGTTTCCGGTGCTTCTTGTGAATTCTCTTCTTTCTGTACTTCCTTTCAGAATCGCTGCTGTCAGAATCGCTGTCATAATCTGATCCAGAATGGGTCCTTTTCTTGTGTGTTGATGCCTTCAATTTCCTTTTTTTTGCTTCTGCATCAGCTTTTGCCTTGGATGCAGCTTCCAGCCTCTGCTCCCATTTCAAGGGGCCCTCTTTCTTCTCCAGAATTTTCTTCTTCTTCTCTTCAACCAATTGCAAGAACTTTTTGCAGTCCATTTGATATGATACAAATATGACTTGAAGCCTGAATATCCATGAAATGATGCAAGGAAGTGCATCTCATAGAAGAGAAAGATCGATGTTAGTTCTTCTAGCATCTCATAGCACAACGGACTCAGTGTGCCATAACTCAATTGGCATCATCTGTAACTATCAATCTATAAACATATTTTTTTAAAAATGTTAAATAGACATGATTTGTAAGAAAACTTAGAGCAATGCCATCATTATCTGAGAAAATGCACTGAGCACAATCATATGCAATCATAAATCTTGCACAATCATATAGCTACCACTGAAACCATATCTTTTAGTATTTATAGAGCACAATAAAGAAAGTAATTCTAGACAGTCTCCCCATGATTTAGGGTTCACAAAATAATAAGTGCACAACAAAATAGACATTGAGAAGTTATAGAAAGAAAGCAAATAAAAGAACTTAAAATATAATCATACAAACTTTAGGAGTTCTTATAACTGACTAGTAATTTCCTGCTTTGGAGAACTTTGCTTATATATAGTCATTTATCATATGTATGCTACTTTAGATGAGCAGCAGGGACTAAAGTGCACCTCTATGAATCTTGGAGAGTGGTGAATGATAAACAATTTATGAAAATCAGACAGAAAAAACAATGAAATATAACAATCCCATGGAATACTTAGTTCAAAACAAACAAGAAGAAACACGGGGTCAGCTTTTCACCTTATGCAGAAGTTTCTTGCACGCTTGAGCAAATAGTCAATACCACTTCTTCCCAGTAATGATGAGAACCTAAAGTCACACAAAATAGCATGGAGTCATTTCCAAAAAAAAAAAAAAACCAACCTAAATGATCATTAAAGTGTAATTACTAGTTAAATTCTCAACCCAGTTTCACCACAGTGCTAAACTCCTGTATTAAGCCTCTCAAACCCTCACCTAGGGTAAAAAAACGTAATGAGCAAATCAAGCAGAACATTATGCAACCATTCTTCTTATCATTAATGTGATCATTCTTCTTCAATGTTTTCCAATAAAATTAACATCAAGTTCACCAATCATGTCATTTTGTTGATTCTTGTGATGCCAATTTTTGTTGAGAGATCTGGGTTTATCCATTTTGGTATGACTCCATATAATTGTCAAACTAGATTTTATCAATGCAGATGTAGTTTGTACAAAGATATATAATTACTAAACATCTGAAGGTGCTTTTAAGTCTTCGTCAACAAAACCAACAGGCTACAAACAGCTTACTCACAGCTTGAGATCACACATTATTTTTCTATAAGAAGTCCATTCTCAAGCATAGCATTTTAAAAACAAAAATTCTAGGAAATAGGTCTCAGATAAAATTAACACCCTTAAATAAATTATTCAACAAGTCAGCAATAATAGGCATTTGTATCCCCTTATATCTCATCAAGCCTATGAGACAGTCACAACAACAAAAAGTCGGGTGCGATACAACACCACAATCCCCATACTTCCTTATGAGAAATACAATGCCTGAACCTATACAAAAAAATCACAACCATGTTCATACACTTAAAACATGGTTCAATCAATCATCTCAGAGAGTATACATAAACATATTTAATAAATTTAATTACATCCTTATGGGTTCACAGTATCCAAATTCAAATAACAACATTATTAGAACCAAATTCAAGCGTAATACCATGTGACCCCACCTTGAGCCATGCAATTTACCGCATGTTTGTTGCGACACAACCTTTCTTTCTTTTCATAACTTTACTTGCTTTTCCCTTTTCTATTATTTTTTTTCTCACTTATTGCTTTGTTGCAATGAGATGCTATTATGTGCCAACAATAGATTCTTTTATTTTCTTTGACTTTAATAGTTTAAAGGCCAACTATGATCACCAGTGAAATCACAGTTGCTTTCCTAATCCAACTAGAGGTACAAGTTATGCTGTAGACAGATAGGTCCAGGAACCCAAGCATATCCTCTTGACAGGCAAACCGCAAGACATCTTAACCGAACAAACCAAATCATTCAACCACATGAAACAAAGCAAGAAATTCCAACCACATATCTCCAATAATCAAAGAATAGAAAAGAAGGCACAGATCACACTTATCCATCTTGATCAAGTAAGCACATTTCACCATAATCCTAGAAAACTAGCAAACAGCAAGCAAATAGCGAACAGATTGACGCCTCTAACATGAGATCGAGTACCAAAACACGGAATATCAAATATCAGGAAGCCCTAACTCAACATCCTGAGGCCGGGCAAGCAAAGGAGGAGGAAACCCTAGATTTAGCGAGAAAACCCCGCAAAACGCCAATCCGCCTGCTAAAACCAGGGGATCGGCAGCCTAAGTTCGGAGATCCATACTCACCACCGACAAAACCCTAAAAGCACACCGCAAAAAGAAGGCGAGAAAGGGGATCTCGAGACGAGTGTACAAAGACAAAACAAAGAACGAGAAGCGGAGCGAGATCTCACCGGACGAGAGAGGAAGAAGGCGTCGAAAGAAGGGGGAAAGGCCGACGGATGGCTTCCTCTCGACTCCGCCCTCTTCCAGTCTTCTACCACTATTAATTAGCGCGGCGGCCGAGGCTTTTTGCTGGTCACGCCGGCATTATTCTATGTACGTACGAACGCGTCAATACGTACAAAGTACGGATGTGGAGGCGCGTGGAAACCGTCAAGCAATCCATTGGGCTTTGATGGACCGGCCCACATCTAAATAACTTCGAATTTATGTTCATTATACGAATTCCAATCAATCCGGTCATAAAAATAAAATAAAATTGGATATCAATATAAAATACATATCGATGCATTTTTAGCCAATATAATATTACAATTATATTTATAAAAAAATCAATTGTAGTAGTTAATTTTATTTATCATTGTTACTCTATGTATGAATTTTTTTTATTGAAAATATCAATTAATTTAGTTGGTAAAGATCTTGATAATTTATTTAAAATTTAATTAATTTTTTTAAAATATAAAAGAAATAAGTGGTGATAGATGATGGTACTGATAGAATTAGTTTGACATATATGAAGGGTTAAAGAATGATTTTAATTTTTATGATTTAAATTATGATATTTTAAATAGTAAAATATAATCTAATGATTCTCATAATTATTTTATTTTTGTTCTCAAAGGTCAAGGATTCTAAAATTCAAGTGACAGAGTTTTACCTAAGGTTAGTAATTTTAATCAATATATTTTAAAATTAAAACATTTGATATGATAACTCATCTACCAAACACTAAGAATTTTAAATACTCATATGAAAAATTTTATACCAGACTCATTTAATTGATTCAAGTACTTTTTATAGTAAGATCATCTGATAAAAACTTTAGTTATTTATAGTAAGATCTCATCTTCCACATTTATCTTTTATCAAAAGATAAATAAGTGAGTAGCTTGGCAGGTACTTCTTTTTCATTACATATATAGGAAAAACTATGACAGAAGTGTGCCAAGAGTTCTTCATTCCTGGTTTTGCATCTGCTTGAAAGATGGTGAAACCATGTCACTTGATCCTGGTCTGGGCATGGCAAAATCATGGCCTGTCTAAACCATCAACTTGTTCTTAATTGATCTCCAAGCAATGTTGTTTGGCACCCTCATTACTGTAACTAATGCCTCAGAGTGGTCTTATAAAATGCATTTGCAAGGACACAACCACACAAATCAATGAACTCTTCTAGTCCAAAGGATTCCTTGGCCTGTCCTCTGGCAGGAGACAATGTGGTACTCTTTATATCTTGTAATGGCTACTCATTAATCACTATCAACTTGTCATTAACTAAGCAAACATCATTAGGAGACCAGCAGGAATTTGTACCCAGTAAGACAATAAACATCTTCTTTTAGCTCAGAAGGTCCTGACAATTGCTTGTGGCAATGAATCAAGATGTACCAAATCTTATGTAGGTCAACTCTCTACATGCCCTCACCACACCTTTATCTGCTTATAAACCTTGAAGGTACACATTTGATAATTAACTTGTGGACAAATTTTCAACCATCCAAGCTGTTAATCACAGAAAGTTTCCTGTAGAACTGTGTATTACTCCTTCAACTTGGACTGCTCATTGGATTGAGAAGAGGAAGCCAGTTCAGAGCATAATAGCAATCATCATTGTGCATTCCGATGGCCTCTGGCTTCCAACTAAAGCATGCCATCTAAGGCAGGGCATTTGTGAGATCCAAGAAGTCACAGTGCTTGATTGATTGTTATTGGAATTGCCAAAGGTCAAGTTAGTACATGCAAGTTGCAGCCAATAGATTCATTCAATGTAATAACTACAAACTCTTATCCAAAAGGGAGAACAGATACCCTCTTCATCTCTATATACACTGATTCCCGAGGTATCTTCCTTCCATTCACTCTTGGCATAGAAGGAAGGAGGACTGAGATGGCCACCATTGCCAAGAAGATGGTCACTGCACTCCTGCACCACACTCGACTGGGATCCATAGTGTTCGCAGTGCCTGATGGGATCAGAGGACTGGTGGAGTGGCTGGCTGATCAACCATTTGCTGCTACCATCACCCCATGCTACAGTGACTGCATGCATGTCTGCCTGAGGGTTCATCAAATGCCCTACTTTCCTGTTCCAGGAAATGTAATCACCTCAGGTGCAGCATGGTAAGCCGATCATGTTACTGATCCTTGGTGTAACTCGAAGGGATGTAGTGAACGGTGTTCTTGTAGCTGGTGTTGCTGCTGTCATGGAATAATAGTAGTAGCTGTTGCTGTTCTCGTGTCATGATAACTTCATTTCTGCATATTTTTGTTGAGGGTTGAAAGCTTCTGAACTCTTTGTTTGCTTCCCTAAAACCATACCTTGGCACTGATCTTTCCGCATGTACAGTAACTCTTTGTTTTGACTAGGCTTGAAGTCTGAGAGAGAGAGAGAGAGAGAGAGAGAGAGAATCCTTACTGTGTCCGACTCCAAGTTTCTCTCCTCCTTGTAAGAATCCTACAGTACACAAGGTGAATTATATCATGGCACGCCATTGGGGCCAAAGGATTAGAGCTTAGGTGACTTGTACTTCCCCTGTTCCAAGAAGAGTTCATGTGGAAGGATCAAAATAAGTTTCAACAAAGTGAATTTATTTAAGGGCACAAATTGTGAAACAAACCAAATCAAATTGATCTGGTTTCCTTCTTCCTTTCACAAATCAATGCAACTCCACCACCCTCTCTTCCACTCTTCTACCACCATTGCCTCATCTATGATCTTCTTCGTTCTACCCCCTCATTCTTTTTTACCTTCACTGACATAATACTTATCGTTGATAGACTCTAAATTCTATCATGCTTATATCTTTCCTTCCTCTCTCATCTTCTTATCCGTCAACCTTGAAAAGTCTCTAAAATCAGCAAAAAAAAAATAAATAAATATTTTTCTTCAATGAGCTAAATAATCAGTAAATTGAGCAAATTTGATAATGTTACACTTGTAAATAAACTATATTATGTTCGATTGTGGAATCAGAATGAAAATACATAAAATTAGGCAAACAAAATTTCTAGAAAAATGGATACTAATTAAGTATATCATATTTTCCTTTGATGGTGAAAATTAAAAGTAAATTGAATAAATTTTTTTATTATATTACACTCCAAGTCAAGATGAAAATAATATCAAATTGAAATTAAAAGCCCCTAAAATTAATTTTCTTAAGAAAAGGGCTGAAGAAGAAATCATACTTTCTGGTGGTCAGTACATGGCATGCTTCTGTTTCCAACACAGTGTGGATGAAATTTCAATAATATCAAAGTACTATCAAAAAAATAATATCAAAGTACTTTCAATGGAAGGTAGTTCCCTCAGTTTGACAAGTATATCCCATAGTACAGTTTATTCAAACAGCATCTCCACTAAAACAATGATGTATATTAGAAGTAAACTTGTGGTTGTAATCTTATAAATTGATGCTTCAGCAACGCTGATCGAGTGTTCAAGTGTACTCCTCTGCCTTGAATTTGACCTCTGGGTTCCTAATATCGTCTTGGCTTTGAATTAATCGGATCTCCAAACTGCTGGATTGCGGATCAAAACCTACTGCTTTGTAGTCTTCTAGTGTTCTGTGCAGCAGGGCCTGCAAAAGGCAGAAAAAGCATGCCGAAAAATAGATATGCGAAGAGCATTTAATGAATCACAGCTTGTTCTGATGAAAGCACAATTATTTATAGAAAGAAAAGAAGAAAGAAAGCATATCAACATGAAATTTGTACTGGGGAAATAGCCTAGAACAGGAGATCAGCATGAAAATGAAGGCCGTTAGTTTTCAGTGAAAATTTTAGGACCAAAGATTTCATATCCATGTTGCGTAAGGATAAATGGAGCTACAATTACATCTTGGTTGGCAACATAAAGGAAGAACCACAAACACAAAGGAACAAACAATAATTGAGCTATGAATAGATGCAGATGATCAAGGAAATATGGCGATCTTAAACAATTAACACATGCAAAGCTAGGGCTTTTTACAAGGTTCATTTCTCAATCTCCAGAAGCACTTGCTTTATTCATAGAAGACCATGTAGTGGTAGAGGAGGGCCTAACTTGACTGCAGAACAAATAATGTATAAATTGGACATATTCCTTAACAGATCAGACTGCTAAGCCTATATCTAGAGTAAACAGTAGACAAGTCCTTTCCATAGCTAACTTTTCTAGTACATTATTAACATTAGTTCAAGGTCATAAAGATTACCCTCGAACCCTATGTGAAAGCAACTAAGTGTATTGGAAATATTGGGAATCTTTCTTTTATTACAATAAGTGTATTTTTCAAAACTATAAAAGTGTGACATTCAAGATACAGAGTTTACATTACTGACAATGGTGTAGAGCAATAAAAGTTGTTTAGACTCTTTAGAGTAAAGCAGGAACTAAAGAAATCAAATCAGGTGCAGCAAGGATGCACATATGGGCATGACCTTTGGTGATTTTCTGTCCATTCTCACTCAAACTTAGTAGTCATAAAGGACCAAGTTTGACTTCAATTTTCTACTTAACAATGACTATGTCAGGTTGATTCCATTTACTACTGTTAGGTTTTGTGAACTGCAAGTTATTTTTTATGTCCATAATGGATATCTTAAATCAATCATTCTGTTCTATACCAACCTAAAATTTAAGCTCATTGTAAGTCCATTTATGAATTGCCACCTTATGGTTTACAGGTGATGCCGAAGTGATTTTCCTTTTGTCAGAAGAGCTTGGCACTAAATATGACAGAGAATGTGACACTTATAAACTAAAAAAGTAGCTTTTTCTGAGATGTAGCAACATTAAGAAAAGACCATTTAGAGATAAGACTAAACCAACTCTGTAAGTAAAGAAATCATCTGCAGGATTATCTGATGGAACATCAAAATGTTCATTTTAGTAGGCAGATTAAGGATTACCTGTAAACTCGATACTGCAAGCTCCGATGCTTTCTCAAGGTTATCTGGATATTTCTAAACATCAAACACCCAAGAAATAAATATTGTGTCATTCCACAATGCAAATATAACTATCTGTCGTAATTATGCTAAATTGCACTATGAAGCCTTACATTGCTCCATCCCAATAAAAGTGCTGTCATCAAATCACCAGTGCCCTGCAAGTCGTGACCCAGCATACATAAGAAAATATTAGTTATGTTCCATCAGATAGCAATGAAGACGAAGCAGTTCTCTAGAGAACGTGTATTAATTCTGGCTGCCAAACAAAGCAAATTTATGATCATATAGAAATTTCAAAATATCAATATGGGCAGTTAAAGAAGAAATCTGATAGATTGTGGTGACCAAAGAGGTGAAAAAGGATAAATATCGGCATGCATAGGAAAAAGCGAGATATTCTCTTAACTCATGACATCCAGAAAAACGAGAATGTAAAGAATAGAGAGTACAATTATACGACGATGCTTCAATTCCTAAAAAAATGTAATAAAAAGTCAGAGATCCTCCCTAAAGAAGTATAGGCTAATATTTGAGCAGCAAGCTAAATGCTGAAACACTCAGGTGACAGGTTCACCAAGTAAAAGCCAACAATACACCATAATGACATCATGTTTACATGGGGTAACTACCAAATATTGCCAACCTTACCAGCAAAACCATAAGGCAAAAGAGATGTATAATCAAAGAGAAATATGAAATAGCTTGGTTTGATAGCTAAAGAGATTGTATGAACAGGATTCATTGACAATTTCAATTTTTCATCAAAACCAGAAAGGAAGAGAAGAACAGTCTACAAGAATCCACTAAAGAATTTCATCAATAATTTAAAACGCATACCGTAAAATATGCCGGAATCTTAGGAATGATTATCTTAAACTGATGCGGAGGCTGACCCTGCAAAACAAGCATGTAGCAGATATTGTGTTGTTCCAGAATGGATACTCAATTAAATATTAGTAATGCATTGCCTAAACAAAGAAAAGGACATTATTCACTGATTCAACATTAAATGTATGCCTTACTATTGTTTGCCATAAAAAATCCACTGAAATTTGAAGCATCACCAGGTCATGTATCACCACCACTGTCAACACCTTGTTGGTCATTCAGAATTTCTTTCTTGATCCTTATGATTTAGCCCATACTTGAGATACTAGCTCTATCATGTTGGTTTTAGCTCATTAGAAGCCTATCTAAGCAGAGCTATATACAGATAAACTTTAACATGGTCAACTATATTTTTTTACTGAAGGTATTTTCCACAAAGTCAATTTACTCTTAGTGCCAACACATAACCCGTTCTCTCCATTCTGCTCAAAGTCCAAACTTATAATCCTATTAACCTAAAAAATCCAAAATTCATTCTCACATCAGATGCTATCATTCTCATTGAGTTGCCTGACTTGTGATAAACATATCAATTGTCATTGTATGGTTTGTGGCTAAAACCATGGTTTGCAATACCGTATCGCAAGGTTTTTAATTTCGAATAATACCGCCCGTACCCGGCAGTACATACCAGTATGTGATAAACATATCAATTCCCATTGTATGATTTATGTGACTAAAACCATAGTTTGCAATATCGTATCGCAAGGTTTTAATTTCGATTAATACCGCCTGTACCGAGCGGTACATACCGATTCGCCAGCAGACCGGTACACGGACCGCCCGTTACCGGGGGGTACCATCGATTGGGGACTGAGGGAGAAGAAAGAAGAGGAAGAAGGGGAAGAAAGAATAGGGAGAAGAAGAGGAGAACCTGGAGATCGGCACCGCTCTCCCTCCTCGTCTGTCGACGACTTCTCATCCGCGCAGGAGAAGAGTCCTCGGCGTCATGAGGAGAAGAGAGGCGACGTCACAGAAAAAAAGATTTTTTTTACTCTCATATATATATATATATATATATATATATATATATATATATATATATATATATATACCGAAATATACCGCTCGATATATAGTACAATACCGTACCGAGCGAATCTCAAAACTCCAATACAATACGAAATTTCAATCCTTGCCGTATCGTACCGTTTGGTGCGGGCGATATGTATCGATCTGAAAGAGGGTCAGTACGGGCGATATATCGATATACCTTAGTGTACCATGTGTCAGTACGCTTGGTATAGCTCGGTACACCGGTACTATACAGTATTCAGAACCTTACTGCCTAAAACAACATTGATCTACATATATTCTTTATCAATCATAGCTGTTTCAAAAATCATGGAATCTAATGCAAATGTTGATTCATTCACTTCTAATATTAAGTGGGTGGCAATAACATTCTTGCCCCAATGAAGTTTGACAAAGCTCTCACAACCTTTCTAAAGTAGATCAATGAAAAGAACTTATTAGATAACCAGAATCGGTATCCTGTCACTACTCAAGTTAACACAGATTAACAATATGCAGCACTTGCAATTAGTCATTCAAGTTCATCAGTTAAAAATTGTCAACAAATGAACAATTTAGCTTGAACAATATATTAAAGAAAGATGCATGAGCCAATGACTTTACAAAGGCATCTTTCATGACTATTAAAGTTAAAGTTGGAATCCAACATACAAAATTAAAGAATTCTTTTTCTTTAAAGAAAGAAGAAATAGAAGAAATAGAAAAAAATGGCTAGTAACATATTGTACATATAAAGTCTCATAAATCCAGGCTTATCTTACTCTAGAGGTTTAGCAGAAGTATAGGACACAAAATTCAAATTCAAATGTATGTAGCACAACGATAAAATTGTTTCCACATACTTGTCAGAGAGTTTAGCATTGTCAATCTACTTAAAATAGTCCTCTATATTCAATCTACTTAAAATAGTCATCAGGTTGTTTTAACATGCACACTAATAAATTTGAAAAGGTACCTCTAATTTCTGATGACTACCAATTAGGAGTAGTTTGCCCTCTATATTCAAGCTAGTTATTACCACCTGGAGTTAAGAAACCAAATCAAATTATGCTATTAAAAAAAAGAAAATGTAACAAAAAAGTATTGTAACCAATGCATACTGAAAGGAAGGCACTAAATCATGAGCAAGAATTATACAATGCAAAAGAATGTAAAATATAAGATTGATAAAGGCATGATCATGGTGCATGGAACTAAATGCCTGTTCAATTGACAATTTCAATGATAAATTGACAAATAAGGAAAACAATGAAATTATGGATCTATCAAGTAGTAAAATTAGAAAAAATACAAGTGAAATTGGTTCTCCAGTAAATAAAGTATTATTGTAAGACTTATTATGTGAAGTGTTTAATCACTTAATAGTTCATCATTATTTGTCTCAAAAGTCCAAAGAATCATGTTATCATACGAAAATACTCATTGTTTTTTTCCATGGTTAGGAGACCAAACTCAATTTTTAGTGTCAAATAAAAGAGTTGTCTTCTCAGTAACAGTATCCTCCTTGGGTAGCTCTTAATCATCAAGGCTCAAAAACAGAATCATTGATCCAAAGATTTGGGATAGGATACAAACAATGAGCCATAGATCTCAATATTTGGGGTTGGCTACAAAAATCATTTTCCTGCCATTTGTCTCTACCAAGGGGAAATATCATAAGTCAAGCGAATATTGTAGACATAATTTCTTTATTAGCCATGCTAAATAATGTCGAAGTTATTATTATCATTATCATTATCATTATTATACTAAATGAACCTTCCTTTGATGACAAGGAAATCTTTGTGTATAAGAGACTCGCAACTGAAAGGAATACGAAGGATCAGATGAGTGCAACTATAAGTATGAGTTCCCACAATCCAGATCCGATATGCCACACCTGCAATGGACAACCATACCACTGCCAGATGGCCTGTCCTTAGAAATCATTAAACAATATCAAAACTATAGCATTTATAACTTATTGTCAAAACCTAAGAGATAATAAGATGGGAGCTGTTCTGAATTGTTTATAAAAATTGCTTGTTTTATATAGATTTGGCTTATATAAACTGTTTATTACAAAAATATGTGCATGCATGACAAGGTCTCCAGTTTCATGAGGCATAATATATGGCTGACACGGGCTCTATGCGAGGCCAATACTAAAATATGCCCTTGGCATGGGGAAAAATGTCGTCCCAGTAATTCACCAACAAGTACGTCACAACTGACAGACCCACAATGACTGACAAGTACATTCCTATGGTAAGCACAGTGCGTGCATGTGCATGTGCATATATCTGAAGTACTATGAATTGTGAAATAGCATACTAATGCAATTACAAATTCTAGAAGTGAAATAATAAAATGTAAGTAAACATTTATCAGATTTTCAGAGATGGGCCAAGTATTGCATAACCATGTATGTCTTAACCGTCAGGCCAACATGGTTGACATGTACACTCCAATTGTAAGAATAAAGCATATGCATGTTGCATAAGTGCATGAGTATCTAGAGCACTATTGAATTTGAATGGAGTGCTGATGCAACCACTAATTCTAGAAGTCAATTACTCGAAATAAGATATACATTTTCGATTTTTAAAGATGGGCTAATATACCATTGCACAAGTATTGTTTGTCCAGTTAGACAAACAAGAACTTTGCAATCAAAGTTTGCAAGCAGTTCCTATCTACAGTATCATATGACTAGAATAAACCTTTGACGGTCCAGCAGCATGAAGAATATTACAAGCTTTCAACCCATCACTTTCCGATGTAATTCTACGAGATGAAAGAACCTTAATATTAGAAGGATTCAATTATAAAGAAAATCACATAGCAAAAGTAGCACTGTAGAAATATTATTACTGCTGACCAACAACAATTAATTAAGCCACCAATTTGAGGAAAAATTCTAGATAATGTTTTCATAATTCAAAAATGACAGTCCATTCAGTCGGAAGATACAATATATAATAATAGTCATAATAAGCAACGCAACTTAATTTGGACTCTATATACATGATTTTTTATCCTTATATAGCCAGTCTAGTCTAGAAAAAGGAGAATAATGTTAGGAAGTTGGCAGCCACCTTCGGACTTTTGACAGGACATATATGAATGTCAATCTAAAATTCAGCTGGTCTCTAGTGTAGAAAAAAAGGGCAAGTTATGTTAGGAAGTTGGCAGCCAGCCTCGGACTTTTGACAGGACATATATGAATGTTAATCATGAACAGTGCTAAACAGTAATAAGGGTCCATTATACAACTTCTATTGCTTTTTCTGCATGTGGAATAACATCACCTTTGAGAGATAGATTCACAACGTCAGACTACTCCCACAAATATTGATTGATATAAGATATTTAGCGATCCATCACAGATGTGAATGAAATGATAGTAGTGCATATTTTGCCAAAATAAAGAAAGCAATAAATATATATATATATATATATATATATACCACATAAGTGGTATAAGAGTTGAACAAATAGTCATAAGGCAAGCAAAAAAAAAAGAACGGTAAAAATTAACTGTGAAATTTTGCATTTTTCCTATTTTTCCATTGGTTATTTGAATTTAATCTGAAGTCCCAGCTTATCAACTTTTGGCTTATGTTAAAATTACCCAATTTGAGTAAAGGATGATTAATTATTGGAAGCAAATTTCAATGTCCAGTGTATAATGTTTTAGCTGTTAGGGCTAAAGAACCAATCATTCATCCAAACTCCTAAGTGTCCACAGCAGTGTCTAACCTCTATTTACATCTTTAATGGGAAAAAACAAGAGAAGCAAGGAAAATAGAAACATAAATGTGTTTAACCATTTAATCGAATGCAATACTACTAAATTGCATCAATATAACAGTTCATGAAAATGGGATTTGAATAGTGTACTGCCCGATACAGGCGGTACATACCGGTCCGCTGGCTAACTGGCACGAGGACCGCCTGCTATCGGGCAGTATCAGCTGGCAGACAGGAGGAGAAGCATGACAGCGAGGAAGAGAAGGTTGTGGCACTCGTTGGACAGAGAAGGGAGTTGGACGTGGCGGGACATGAAGAAGCGCTCCATCAAGCGGAACGCGATAGGCGTCAGATCCTTGCTCCCAAGCAGAATGCAGTAGGGGGCAAAGGGTTCGTGGCCGCTGCAGTCAGGGAGGTCGTGATCAACGACGAAGGAAGGGGTCCTGGCCCAGGTTGGAGTGTTGCTTCCCCTTCACGCTCTTGTCGTCATCTTGGTCTTCTTCCTCACGGTCACTAAGGGCGACAGTAGTGGGAGAGTGGGAGATGAGCTCGCCTTGGGCTGGATCCCTGCCAGATCCGACCGTCGTAGGAGCATTGCGAGTGCCTCGCAGGGGATGAGTTCGAGCTGGGGTCGGAGACAACCGGTCGCATCCTCACCCGCCCTGCCATCACCCCCTTTCCGTCTCCCGAAACCTTCTCGCATTCCTATTCCATCTCTCGAAACCCCTTTCCGTCTCTCGGAAACCATCTCAAATGCGAGATGGTTTCTTCTTAAAAGAAGGGTGTAATGCTCGGTATGCCCTAGCTACTGCTCGATATGCCGTACCATACCGAGCAAAGTTCAGAAGACCGGTATGGAACAAAATTAAAAACCTTGATGAAATATTCTCTTGACATGCAACCAGTCTGCTCCTTGGTGGTTACATCCTCATCTTAATGATGCTCATCTGCTGTCATTTACATAAGACGGCTGCAACTGTTGTCTCAATGACCATAATGTTGGTATGGCACTTCACAGAAGCCAAAGAGGCAGCTGAATTCTCCTTTGGCCACAATAAAAGTTCAACTCCAATGAGGACATGATAGACACTCCATAATGTGTCATCTTCCTCTTTGACAAAACTTCATAAAGAAAACCAAGAACTCTAATGAATACATAATTGAATTGCATAATGAACCTCGATTTCACTGACACTTTAAATGGATCTAACTTTTATTCGAGAGCAAGTTGAGGCTTGTGAACCTTTTAGGGTAAAAACTTGTATAATATTTTTTCTGATTCTATTCTTCTTTCTCCTTAAATATCAAAAATAAAATAAAATGCTACCTAAATTCCCTTTGCAAGTCCCAATTCATCAAAAGTGGGATCCCTTACGCAAAACACTACAAAGGTGAATTTTCATTTATAAAATCCTAGCTAAAACCAGACTGTAAAGAATTTAATTTATTCCAGTGTGAACGGTCAGTTGTTTAATTCCAACAATAGATCATCAGACAATATTATCGACATCCTGAATACAATTGTCTAATTACAGAACATATGGATTACAACACATTCCATTCATATCAAATACTCATATGATATTTAGAGAATTTTCTCGTGAAACAAATGAGACTTCATGAAGATAATTTGAAGACTAAATTGCATAACAACCTCAATCCTGTCAGAAGCTCAACTTCAAACTGGTTAGGAGTCAGCATTGAAGCAACAGGAATAACCTAACATAGAAAAATATGTTAGTCTTGACAGCTAAATCTTGAAAAGGAAGTAAAGAAAAGAAAGAGAAAAATGTAAAACTATCTTATATGTATACTCAGGAAGCTCAAATGTTATCTTGAATAATTAGGACAACACCCTGGAAAGGAATGAAGATCTCAAGCCAAAGAAACAGCTTGGCTTAGAGAACTTGCCTAAATCACGATGAAGCAACCTTATCATTGCAAATATTTCTGCTGTCTTAAAAAATGGAAATCTTGAATGATCTTATATAAGACATGTACAGTTCCTCTTTTGTCACTTGAAATGGGACTTGTAAGGTATAATAACTTGGAAAGTATTGCAGGAAATTGTGAAGCTTGACCAAAAATTTCTCAGTGCAACTTACAGTTCCACTATACAGAGAACACAGCACATATATTGGAATTTTCCATTCTTTCCTGGCTATACATTGTTTACATATGCTTTCATGCACATCTGTCCAACTTGCAAAAAGAAGTTTTACTATACAGTTATTAACATTAAAAATTCATATATAGAAAATTTATCATATACAGAAAATAAATTACTGAACAAAAATCTGATATGACAGTTCATTAGCTAATTTTAAAAGTTATTTAACAAATGAAGGAAACGTGTGAATAAATGCCAAGATATAAGTCAAGTTATCAAGAACTGACCTTCTCCCGATATACGGACACCAGATCAGGCGGAACATATAGCTTTCCTTCATCTCCCATGACAGGATCACACACTAGCAAGAACAAACACAATCAATACCAGCACAAGGAAATCCTTTGCGAGCTAATCCAATCAACAGCATCACTTAGGCATTTTACCAACCATACGAGTTAGGCAACCTAGTACAACTTAACTAAACATAGCTCTATGGAAGATTTGACCAAAACTTTGCGTCTTCTCCAAATATGGAAACAATCTAGAAGCTCAAGACTAATTAAAGCATCTCTGAACCAATAATATCATTGAAAACCTCATATATGGAATTTTTTTCTCAAAAAAACCTTATTTTGATCATCATGCTCCAAGCAAAGATTTATAAGATAAACTTTTGCATGGGCTTAATTATGAAATAACAAACTTAATTTCAGAACATTAAGTATATAATCTAAAGGTCCTCTATAAGTTAACAAACATACTTCATTTTTTCTATCTTTTGATTTCTCCATTTTATGCCACGGTACAGAAATCAAATTTTTATTCATATAATTCAAACAAAGAGTAAAGTTGAAACTTCTTGACAAATACAATCAATTGATGTCACATACCAGAAAAATTATGGTTAAGATACTTCTAAAAGAATTTGGATGATGAAATAACAGGAAAAAACTTCCAAAAAGGTTATGAATGTTGAACGAATGTCAAGTCAAACATTGCACCAATTTAAGAAAGATCTTAGGTTTGTCAGAAAAAAAAATACCATATATAAGTCCAGGATTGACCATGCGCAATCTGTCCACAACTTGTAATACAGTATCTAAAAATGAAACAGAACCGATATAACCTGTAGATTTGCAAAATTAGATAAAAACATATTAGACAAAAAGCAAAGGTATACTATGAACAAATGATAGACATTAAAAAGAAATTGACGAAACCCTGATAAAAGTAACATGTTCCTTGCCCATGCATGTTTCCAGAATACACAAACAACAAAATGAGACTTGTAAGACTTGCAAAACCTCATTAGTTACTTAAGTAGAAGGAAAGGTGTTTAATATGCAATTAAGTCACTCAAATGCATACTCACATCTATCCTACCGAATAACAAAGTTAACAAGCTCAACAATAAGGCGCATCATTTGGGTGATTCAACATTTTAGGATTGGTTTTACCTCAAGATCATGGATTGACATGGATATTTACGTGTGATGCATGTTTATACTTCTATAAAGTTGTTGACAAACATAGTTCTGAATCTTGCAAGTAGCCTAATCACCAACTAAATACATCTTTGCAGGTACTACCAATCAAGTCATAAATAACTCTCCATTTTATTGGATATCTAGAAATTTTCAATGTCCATATCTTGATGGAACTCTTGATAAAATGCATATCACAAAGATGTAGGTTTCTCTTAGTTAATCTTTCTGTTTTATCCCAAGCTTTTCATAAAATCTAAAGAAACTTTCCGATGTCCTCATAATTCCTAATAAAATGTATACACTTACAGGTGATAGCTATTTACTCAATGGACTGTCCTGCCTCAATGGACCCTCTAATTAACTAATTTCTGTTTATATCAAACATTAAACTACTGAAGTTTATGCACAGAATCCCTCCTTAACTAAACACTCAAACTTGCTTCCTCCCTGCCTTCTCAGTGTAGGCACGTGTAAATGGTCACCTATAACAGTTAATTCTCTAGTAAAAGGAGCAACTTGATATCTTCAGTTGCAAAAGGATTTCTTTTGTACCAACTGCCAAGAACTTAATTGACATACATCTCCACAATAGTTCTGATGAAAATGACCCCTGGCTGTAGCCAAGATGCAAGTTATTGTCGTCATTCCATTGGTATCCATCAAGAAGCTTCTGGTGTGAATGAATAAAAACAATACGGTAATCAAGCCCTGACTGGCCAGCCCTCTGATATGGCCAGGTATCCTTGATCATGATCAAGGCCATAGGTCTTTTGACTCGATATTTCTAGTTTCGTTTGTTTATGTAACTACCTAGTCCCAGATGAGATAAATTTATATCTAAATTCATTTAGAACAATCTGAGAGTTAACAAGACCTCCTTCAAGTCTGTTGCCAAATCAGGTGTACATATATGTCAGGCCAATTAGGGAACTGAGAAGTGCAGATCTGTCATCCCATTCGGCTGGAGTCATATATCCACCATCCATTGTTGGATAGATGGTCCAGATATGGTAATTCTCCATATCATGAACAAAACCAAGAACTTTCATGGCTCATTTTAATAAAAAATGAACAATGTCTTCCGAAGAGAGCTAAAAACTGAAACACACAATAATTTGGTTCTAAAATAAGATTATAACAAGGTCTTGTGATGACAGAATAATCATAATGATAAAATGAAAATGTATTGTTATCTGTAAGAAACTTTAATAGGTAGCTCATTTTACAGAATGGAGTAGAAATATGGAAAAACAGCATAACATGGAAAGGCCAACCTGTTAATAGATGAGTGTAATATAACAGATCATTTGCTGCAAGGCCTTCAATCAGATCGCACAGCTGTTGACCATTAAGAACTTGCCCTCTAAATGTTGGATATCCTGCAAACTAACCATTGGTTATACCACAAACTACGTTTTAATTGAAACTGCGCCCTGCTCAACCATGCACTCAGGCACATCGCAATGTATATAAGGCCTCTGATTCTGAGACTGTTGGAAAAAGTTGTGTAAAGCAGATTGCCTGTATGATTTGAAAACTGAACTGAGTTGATAGGATCAACATCATAGCCAAGAAGTTGAAGAGGAAAGACAGCAGCTTTGTTGCCAACATATCCCTGGGCACGTATAAACAGAGTCCAAGCATCACGATGAAGGATTTAACCCTAGAGAAACTACCATGACTTTGTATTAAAAAAAAGATACAGATCAGATTCATCTAGGTACTACAGCAAAACCAATGCAACTAATGCAATTCAATCAGCTTGCAAGTCCTTATCTGTAGCTTACTACATGAAGGTGTCTCTCAGTATTATCGGCCTAATTTCCTATATTTGATGAGTACAGAGGAAACCTAAAGCATGAATTAGCATGATAGCAATTAAAACTAAAAAGCATCTACTCTGATGAAGAAATAAATATAGGAAGAAGAAAGGAATTGCAATCATGTATATTAGTGACAAATTAAAAGGTATGCCGTGGGTACTACTTATGCCTGGAAAAGTAAACTATAACTTATTACTTAGTACAGATTTCGAACTTGAACTGTATTTGAATCAAAAACTAGTGGTATCAGCAAAAGGTACTAAAAACAAAGCAGTATAGCCTAAGACTATTCGGCTACTATTGCCTTGGTTTGACCACATATAATCTCTCCAGAAAATAATTGTCTCGACCAGCAGTGCATTGACAATGATTCTGTACAGATATTCAGAAAGTAATTAGTTAAGACTTAAGAGGCTCAGCTTTATCTGCTAAAGGTTTCTTCTAATGCTTCACATGACAAGGCTAGTTATAAGTAGCCCATTTGCATAAATCCCGCTTAAAGTGATTATATGACCAGTGAGACTACAAATGAGGGCCAAAATCTTCCTCGTTTTTTATGATTTATTCCATCAGTTACAATGACGAAGAGCAATTCTAGACACGCAATTGTGTACCAGTTGGAGGAATCGGTGACCTTGATGACAGGGACGTTGGAGTTAGAAAACATGGTTCGAATAATCATACAGAGACTCAAAACGCCGCCACTGGGAATCGCATTAAGATGTCAATTAAACTTGCTCAAGCAACTGAGCCCTAAACGATATCGAGGCTACCTACAAATTAGCTCAACTCCTCAGATTCTTGTAGGAAAAGCCCGATGTCTAGAACAAAGATGACGCCTCTTACATCTCCCGCGGCATAACGCTCGATCAAGGTCGAGCTATCGCATGTCCTCATACCAACCACGGCATTGATAGAAAAATAACACAATTACATAGATAGACAGAAGGGGCAAAAGAAAGGGTGTCAAGACGAGGAGCAAAGAGAAGACGAGGGGGGAAACCTGGACAGTGTGAGATTGGATGCTGAGGACGCGGCCGGTCTCGGAGGGCAAAGCCAGAGAGAGGATCGGAGGACGCGCCATGGCCGGACCTCCTCGACGGCCAAGGGAGCCCTAAAACGCCGCTCTCAAGAATCTAAGACCTTCTGGAACAAAGAAAGCAAACCGAGGGCGCTCTTTCGGTGTACCTTCGTCGGAGAGCCTCGGGTTAAGTATTCTGGGGCGGCGGCGTGGTGAGAGGGCAGGTGGTTGCTTCATCGTATTTCATCACGGCTGACGCTGATGATGATCCTAATGTGTGTGTGTATATATATATATATATATATATATATATATATATATATATATACGCACACATTATATATATGTGTGTGTGTCCTTTCAGGTTCCTCTTTTTTTCCGTTGCTTTTAGATTAGTGCGCGGTTGATGTTACATGTTTCTAAGAAATTTTGTAACCTTATATTTTTTACAATTAAATATATTTTAACTAATTTAATTGGTAAAGATCTTAATAATTATCGTAGGACTTTGAATTCGAATTATATTTTTTATTTATATTTTATATAAATAAATAAATTAGAGACATTATATAGGATGATTTTTATAAAAATCTTAACTTTTGAGTATGTTTTGTATACCGTTTCTCATTTTCAAAATACTTAAAGAGAAGCTCTTTTTTAAAAAAATAATTTAAAGGACCTAAATAACATTTGACAACATTAATTTTGATTTTTCAATCAAAATATAGTTAGACCGGAAAATGAAACTGGTTCAGTATTGATCCGAACTTGTTATTGTATTTTTTAATAAGGTTATAATATTTTTATATAAAATTAGTTATAGTGTTTTTTTTAATAAAATTATAGTATTTTTTATTGTTGGACTAAAAATATTACAACCATATTGAAAAATATTGTTAATTAATACAACCTTTTACATACATTAATTATTAATTTTATTACATTTAATACAATTTTATAAAATTATTTTATTTTATAATTCTTAAGTGATCAGGATGAAAATTAAAATATTCTAATATATTTAAAATAAATGAAAACAAATTATTTTTTATGTAGCCTTAACTTAAGCACATAATTTTTAAAAAATCTTATAATATTTATTTTATTTATTAACAAAAATAATACAAAAAAAACTATTCTCACTTGGAATGATTTTGAATGGACCTACAATATTTTCCTCACTGAATCAAAACATTATAAATATAATAAAAAAATATTAATTTAATTTTAATTCGTTTATTTTTTATTGACTATAAACATCAAATTTACTATAGTTTTAGATTATTATAAAATTATTAATATGATAATTTGATTAATGTAGGATGAAAATTATGAAGGTATTAACATATTTCAAAATAGAGCATGATAAAAATTCTATTTTTCAATTTGTCTTAAATTTAGATCTATTTAAAAAAAAACATTATAATATTTTATAATAATTTATTATAAATTAACAATAATAAAAATAATGAGACATTATCCGATTATAATTTTTTGCAATGGGGTTATTATGTTTTTGGTTCAATAACTAAAAACACTATGACCCCATTCAAAAATATTATAAAACAAAAAATAATATAATTCCATTAAAAATACTATAATACTAGACCAAAATAACTCAAATGGGATTTTGATGAGAAACTGTTTTTTTGTTATTTGGAATTTTTACAAAGAGAGGGGACTCTTGTTGGAAAATATAGAAATGGGGAATATGATAAGAGAAAAACCTAAAACCTATGGCTTTTCCCATAAAAACATCCTATTATATATATAGTATTTTTTGAAGAACTCTCTTTTCTTACCATCTTATTATTTTGTTATGAGGCCCTAAAACATAACTTATCATGGATAATTCAAAACCAAAAATAATATATCAACTTTATCAAAGCTAATACTCATGGGTGAGAATATAATAAAATTAAGGAAAAATTCTCTCGAAAAAACCCTTATTTTTATAAATTCTCAATTAAAGTCTTATTTTTCATTTATTTTTATATAGCATCTAGTTTTCTAAAAAATAATATTGCCCCTAGCCTCTATTTTGTCGATTATTGCCTTTACCTAATCACTCTCGCCTCCTCTACCCTTTTCCTATGTCATCTTTCTCGATGACTTGTTATTACTCGTTGATGACCTTGACATCACCCAATAGTGCCTCAACACCATTGTTGTTGACGATCGTTTGCCACCTCTATCTCGCCTAGTCATCATTGTTATGTATTTGATATAAGTTTTTGTTGTTTTGTACCTTTTATGTCATGGTCGGGGTGCCAGCTTAGCCCGTCTTGAGTGTGCAAAATCACCAACATAGCCTTTAAGCGAAAGCGTGTTAACTCGATGTTTGATCGAGGGGGGTATAGGCCTCATTCTCTTAAGTGGAGGCTAAAGATCACTTATTTAGTTGTTCGTCGGATGCTTGCATACAGGTTGCAATCGGAAGAGGGATTCTCGACTCGACCCCTCCGATGCTTAAGTTTGCAATAGTTGGAGATGGGGGAGTTGGAGTGTGTGTGTGTGAGGTTCGCCCCCCAACAATGTCCTATGGGTGGCTTTTATACATGTTCTTATGTGTGATCATACGTAGCAGCTTTAATGATCCATAGTCATCATCATACATAGGTGTTTAATACTTGTTAGCACGGTAGGCGATCGGCCCGTATGTTGGGTGTACGCATCGTCTAGTCTGCTCGATTCAATCTCGTTCAGCATTGCTTCCCGCCTCCTATGTGGCCTGGTACATTGTTGCATTGACCTGTACAGTCTTAAGCAGAGTGGGTGCAGATGGATAGTGTCAAGCGATTATTTGGCCTCAAGCTCATGCTACTGAGTTGGCTCAGTGTGACACGTCGGCTTAAGGACACCACGCCAAGTCTATTATGACAGTTGATGTGTCGCGTGAGGTGGATATCAAAATTTGCTATATCATTTATGCTTGTTGTTGTCGTAGTTATAGTAGACACTCAGGAGGAGTCAGATTTTGCTTTGAGCTAAAGTTCACTTCCAACTTCGTCATCGCTATATCATCATGTGATATTCGACTATCATATATATATATATATATATATATATATATATATATATATATATATATATATATATATATATATTTTGGAGTAAACACAATTGACAATGCAAAGGCCAAAGGCAATGTCATCTTTTTAAGAAAAAAAATTTTAGAATAAAAAAAAAATGATTATATAAAATTTTATAAAATAAAAATAAAAAATACCCTAAAATAAAAAAATTAATATTTTTTATTCCACCTCCATTCTAAAATAATGTCAACGAATACTATTTACATGTTAACTTAGAGTCACCAAGTCAATCTTTTTATTGATCTCTAACAATAACAAAAGTCATAGCACCTTAGTCTTCAGAAGTTACATCATATTCATCCATATGAATCTTTTTTTATCATTAACTTTATAGAAGATAATATATACTTATAGTTTATTTATTTTATATATTTTAACAGCGATAAAAGATTTATATAATCGATACCAAATAAATAAGGCTTATGATATTATTATTATTATTATTATTATTATTATTGGAGTTCCTAATAATTTTTTTTTTTTCGGTTTGGTCACTTCTTACACTATTGATACTAATTTTTTAATCTTGTTCATAAAAAAAATATGTAAATCTTAGTAGAACATACTTATGTTATTTTAGATGATTTTTTCATTTTATATTATATTAAATTATATTTACTTATTTTTCATAAATAATTTTTTAATAGCTCTTATATATATATAAGATCATAATCCTATTTCAACGATAAACAAAATCAAATCCTTTCTTAAGTAAAGAAGGAAAAAAGACTGACGGATGACTCATCACGCCACCTTTTTGAATGAGACATCGAGAGTGCCGTCAACGGCGTGCGGCGTGCGGCGAACGAAGGGTCGATAGAGAGGCAGCGTCTCTGCCCATTCCATTGTCCGTTCGGATGTCTCGAGACAGATCGGAATCGGTTTCCGCAGATCGTCGTCATCGACTCCAAGAGATTGGACGGGCAAGTAGAGCAGCGCCACGGCGCGGCCATCGCTGCTTCACCCACCCATCTGCCTTATGAATGGGGAGGTGGGTGGTCCTGTAGGTGGGCCCCTCGCAGCGAGCCGAGAGTGGTGTCGCGGCGGTTACGCTTGTCTGTCCTCGGTTAGGTGTGGCGTAAGTGTGGCACTGTACATCTGCTAACTTGACCCGGATCCGACAATCTAATAGGATCTTAATACCATAAGTTATGGGTTCGGATTGGGATTCCTGGATGGATCTGATCCGAGACCCAATCACAAGGAACGAAATCTGAGCTTATGATTGGTCTAATAAATAGAAAGTTCGATATGCCAAATACCCCATTGTACGTTATCGCAACAATAGTTGATGCACGTGCATACCCGCTCCTCGACCATCGCCTAGCGTAGGAGTGCTCACGTGACGTGCGACGTGGGCCACGGTGTCTCCACTGTAAACGAGGAGAGGAAAAGCTACATGATGGAATGACAACAATACCCTTAAACCGAAACATCAACTAGTCCCGTGTGTGAGGTATTACTCACATCACTCAGTCCATCCACTCAATTTTGTCCACGTCGTCATCTTACTCCTGTGGCTGGAAGTTATTGGATGATTTGTCATATTCGTGATTGGCTCAACATATGGAACAGAACGATGCTTCTGTTAATATTATTTGTTTACTCCGTTTATAACCCCCATCGCCTTAACACCGCTCACTTCTCTTCCTCCACTTTCATCCTTCGACCTAAAACGTCGCCCACCTCTTCTCCTCAGCGGTTTCCCCAGTGGAGAAGGCGTCGTCGTCTTTCCCTTGTACGATTTTGAGGGACGGATCTGGTCACCACTGGGGAGGGGGCGAGGATCCATGGCGTTCTCAGCGGAGGCAGCGACCATGCCCTCCGAGACGGCCACTGCCGCGTTGTCGGCGGGCCGGGGAAGCCTTCTCCACAAGTTTTCATTCCCGATCTTCAAGACGTGGGGTAAACAGCGGATCCTTCGCTGCATGAGCGTGGACGGCAAGGGCGAGGCCGTCGGCGGCGGCTCGGGAGGTGCGAGACCGTCCGAGGTGGATGGCGAGGACGAGGAGGGGATCGAGGACGTGAGAGAGAAGCTTTTGGTTCACGTACGGGAGGCGGCGGACCGGATGAAGCTGGTAGTCCCGCCGCTTCCGCCGTCGCCGAGGGTTGTGAAGACCGTGACGGAAGCGGATCGGCAGGCGGAGGAGGACGCCGACGCGGAGCCCGAGCCTTCGTCGTCCCCTGCGTCGCGACCTTGGAAGCTGAGGACTAGGCGCCGGGGTTCTAGGGCTCCTTCGGGGTTCGAGCCGCAAACGAGCGCGTCTCCTGAGACGGCGGCGGAGAAGAGGCCGGTGCGGCTGAGGTCGGGGAGCACGGAACGGAAAGAGCGGCCCAAGTTCTCGATCACCCTCACGAGGGAGGAGATCGACGAGGACATCTATTCGGTGACGGGCCACAGGGCCCGCCGGCGGCCCCGTAAGCGTCACCGCGTCGTCCAGAAGCAGCTCGATGTGAGTCCTGCTGCTTACCTCTTTTGCTTCATCTTTTTCATTCTATCTTTGATATTATTTATCTACTTTTCGAATCGAAAACCGATTTCATTCGCCCGAAAAACTCATCTCTCTCTGTGCTCGGGTTTTCTCGAGAAAAAGAAATATTTTTTTCTTGGTTAAGAAAAAAAAGGATTTTACTTGATGTTAAATTTGATGCTGTACCAGTTGCTGTTCCCTGGTTCATGGCTGTCGGAGATCACCCACGACACATACAAGGTCCCCGATTAAAGGCAACCTCACCTCCTGCGGTGTGACTCCTTCCCCTCTTCTTTCCGCCATCGCCATTGATTCATCTCCAAAGTCTCCCACCTCCATCGGTTCCCCAAAAGCGTAGCAGTAAGAAAGCTCTTCTACAGTTCTTTTCGTAGAGTTATTACATCACTGGGTGTTTCTTTGCAGTTAGAATTAGCTCTGTTTGTCCTCTGTTGTTGTTATGACATGATTGAAGGAAACATTCATAATTGCTCCGTGCTCATCTAATTGCGTGCCTGTTTCTGGAGGATGACACAGCTTTTGTGTGACGGGTTACACTGCTGCTGACACTTTTACGTGCCAAGAAGCGTAGCAGACATCAGAATCAACTGTTCCTCGTGCAAGGACGGGGGTAAGGTGGAGGAGCGAGGAAGGTTTCGTGAGTCGAGAAGAAGGAAGACGAGGGTTTAATGAAGGGGAACGGCGGTTGCCCGGTAGGTGGTTTCGCGGAGGTGACCATGGCATGGTCAGCGCATGGACGTTGCCACCCGTCCCTTCCTCTGCGGTTCCTGTATTTGCCTGAATAATACCACACACGATTGGTAGAGCTCCTATTGGTGCTTTTGGTGGGCCCCACAAGTAACGACCAATAAACATAGTAGACTTAACACGTGTCGATGTAGGAACGTTTCACGGCCGTCCAGTTCTGGAGGGAGAGAAGAACCCAATACTGCTGGGCCCAAGACAGGGCCCAGGGGTTTTAACCCATTAGGTGGGTCTTGCAGAACACCGCCTTTTGGGCCCCACATCTTACGGCCGACTTTTCGGTCGAATTAATCATAGTTAAGACGTGGGTTTGGTTAGGTTTAAGAACAGTTAAGACATCTCTGTTCTTCGTGCTTTCCATTTAAGCGCCTCTTTTGTTTCCACAAGTAGATTAATGACAGCAAAATTATTCATGATATAATTAACATGATCACAGAAACTCCTTTCGAGAGAGCAAACTCCAAATTTTCCTATGATACAACAACAGTTAAAAATCTAATGAAGAAGAAGAAAAAATTCTTCTCTCTTTGCTTTCCAGTTAATCTTTCCACTACATTTCTTGTCATTAATCTCTTCCATAGCTTCACTCGGATGAACACATCTCGGCTGCTCTGATTCTGCTCAAGTCAGAGGTTGCCCACATTACGAATCCTGAGGTGACTGAGTTCCTGAAATTTCTTGTTTGTTGAAAATAGAATAATAAAATGTTGGATTTTGCAGTCAGAAGGTTGTTTTTGTGGTATGGCAGGATCTTGAATCTTTGACATTGGTGGAATCAGTAACCTTTGTCCTGTGAATAAAATCTACCTTTAGTTAGTATTATAGTTTGTAGCTCTTTCTGGATGCATTATCATTGCTTCAAATTACTCACCTTACAGAGTTTGTAATAGCATTTAACAAGAAAAAAATCCCAACAGGATCTTGTGTCGATGAACCTGAGGCTGGTATCTGCCATGTATCAAGTTTGTAAATGTAGCAGTCCTTAAAAATTTTGTTCCCTAATTTAAGTGACATATTCTCGAAACTGTCAAGAATAATTTGTGCATTCCTTCAGAAATTGAAAAGGAAAAGTTTCATATGTGGTTTCTTATCTCTCCGTGTAAAGTAGCTCTCTGATTTTTCAATAATTTCAAATGCATTGAGCTTCTCGTTAATCCCAAATTAAATAGTGAAATTTCTCTGAGTTGCTCTTATTTCCTGACAAAATTTCTGTTGCATTCAGAATGAACTTGAATTTGATCATTTTGGATCATGTGGTTACGTTCTATCGTGAACGGTCATCGTGCACCCATAATAACTTTGTTCAATGAATCATTTGTTACTTTTGTTTACATGTAGAGTCGCTTGGCAGCATGTTTTGACTTAGTTTTATATTCTTTTACTTGTAAAAATGTAAGTTCGAACAAGTTGCAGTGCTATAGTGTGACCGCTAATCGAACCGAGCAAAATAGTCCAAAATGGCTCTGTTTTCACGTGCTACGGGCTGTTTTCTGCAGTCCGCTACTACACACGAAATGTCGAAATGTCAGTTATCTCAGCACCTTGGAACCACCCGGGTGGCACCATGGGGGATAGGGCTTCGGTATAGTATCGGGCGTTAAACAATCTTCACAAGTTCGCACATTTTCTTTACAGGAACTTGTCTAATCACCCGACACCCGGTGAGCAGCTGTTTATGGACTTGCAGCTATTCGTTCAACCCTCTAAAGTCTTTGTTTTCCTCCTTTCTCTGTTTTCTCTCTTGCACACAAGGTGCTCGCTGAATTGTTTGTAACCTAAGTGAGACGACAAATTGATTGATTTTTGCAGATGCATATTGCAAGAGTGCTTCACGACTCAGGCAACTCAAGCTAAGTTTGCGTCTTGGCCACAATGGTGTCTCACGACTTAGGCAATTCCAGCTAAGTTCGTTACATTGTGGCATTAGAGCGGACAAGCAATTCGAGCAAGCAACGAAGGAACTTCGTAATATCACCATGGCAAAGCATCGTGGCGAATCAAGCAAGGCGGGGCAAGCCAGACCTTTGCCCCAAGTAAGAAATTGGTTACTCTTCGCGAACAGAGGAGGCATAATTTAGAGCGCCAACCGGGAAGAAGAGCCATAAGGAGAGACTCATAGCTACAGAAACCCGCTTGGATCTTCTTGAAGTGAGCTTAGAGATACTCTACCAAGGCCAACGAAGGTTTCTTGGGATAAAGAGCTTGCAAGAAGAAGCTGGATATTGAATTGACAAGGTCGAGGCCCTAGTCGATCGACTGTCGGATGACACCAAAGACTCCGTGCAACATCTGCACGAAGTCGTGGTAGAACTCACTTCCAGGGTGACCTTGCTCACTAGGGCACTGAATGCGGGAGGAAGCAACACTCGCGTTGCACCGTCACAAAACTTGAGGGTACTGGAGCCGCATTATTATAGAGGTGCCCGAGATGCTAAAGAGCTCGAGAATTTCTTATTTGACATGGAATAATACTTTCAAGCTACGAGGCTTGATTTTGAAGAAACCAAAGTTTCGATAACAACCATGTATTTGAATGGGGATGTAAAACTTTAGTAGTGAACCCGTTGGGAGGAGATCCGATAAGGTCAGTGTCGGGTGGACAGATGGAAGGACTTAAAGCGAGAGTTAAGAACTCAGTTTCTATTTGAGAATACATAGTTCGTCGCAAGGAGAAAGTTGAGACAACTCCGCCAAAGTTCTTCCATCCATGATTACGTGAAGTAATTTTCTGTGCTAATGCTGGACATATAAGACATGTCCGAGAAGGATAAGCTATTCAGCTTTCTCAATGGTTTGAAGCCATGGGCGCAACAAGAACTGCATCGAAGGAATGTCACCGATGTGATCGGGATAATTGTTATCGCAGAAAGGCTCACCAACTTTGTTTCCTCTAAGGACCTGGGAAAAAGAAAATAATCTTTAGAAAATCGTCCTCCAAAATTATCAGGACTTGTCCGTCGCTCGTTCTTCGAACTAATCAACTTTATCTTTTACAAGTCCTTCGGGACCGAAGGACCTGAGCGAGGTTACAAATTGGCTGACTTTTGCAGATGCATATCGCAAGGGTGTTTCGCAACTTAGGCAACTCAAGCTAAGTTCGCGTGTTGACCGCAAGGGTGCCTCACGACTTAGGCAATTCCAGCTAAGTTCGTGATAGTTCGTGAGGTCATTAATCCAGTTTCTCCACTAGGCAGATTCGGAGATATATATATATATATATATATATATATATATATATATATATATATATATATATATATATATATATATATATATATATATATTTTTGGTGTGTGA